ATGTGTCGAAAACGACATTCTGTACGCGCTATGGTAATTAAGAGTTCCTAGTAATGCCATTTGGACTTACAAACGCACCAGCAACATTCATGGACGTGATGAATAGGGTGTGTCATCCATATCTCGATAAATTTGTTATTGTTTTTACCGATAACATATTGATATACTCTCGATCTGAGGATGAGCACGCGAATCATCTGCGACTGATTCTAGAGTTATTGAAGTGAGAGAAATGGTATTCAAAGATGTCAAAATGTGAGCTATGCCTACGAGAAGTCCAATTTCTGGGCCATGTCATTTTTGATGCGGGTATTAAAGTAGATCCATGCAAAATTAAAGTCATCGAGAAGTGGGAAGCACCGCGAACGCCAACAGAAATCCTGAGTTTCCTTGGATTGGCAGACTATTACTGAAAGTTTATACAAGACTTTTTCTCGTATTGCTACACTGTTGACCGGACTGACGAAAAAGAATGTGAAATTTGAGTGGAAAGAGGTGCAAGCTGAAGCCTTCCAAATGTTGAAAGATAAGTTGTGCAGCGCGCCGATTCTATCCTTACCAGACGATACGGAAGATCTTGTGGTCTATAGTGATGCTTCGAAACTGGGTTTTGGGTTGCGTGATGATGCAACGTGGAAAGGTAATAGCTTATGCTTCCAGATAGTTAAAAGAGCATGAAAAGCAATATCCTACTCACGACATGGAGCTGGCAGCCGTAGTCTTTGCTTTGAAGATCTGGAGACATTACCTATATGGAACTAAGTGCCAAACTTTTACAGATCATAAAAGTTTGCAGCATTTGTTCCATCAGGGAGAATTGAATATGAGTCAAAGACGATGGTTGGGACTGGTTAGTGATTATGATTGTGAGATTTTGTATCATCCAGGCAAGGCTAATGTGGTAGCTGACGCGTTGATCCGTAAAGAAAGAGTGGTACGATTAAAGCTACAGCCTTAAGAACGATATTATTTCCGAGCATTCACGAGGAATTACAACGTTTTCAAAGTGGAGTTATGAAAGAAGATAAGATCAAGCGAGAGCGACTTGATGGTCTATTAACGGAGTTAGTAAAAGACAGTCGAGAATTGTTATGTTTCCGAAATAGAGTCTGGGTGTCATGTTATGGTAATATCAGAGAGATAACACTGAGTGAAGCTCACAAATCTCGTTTTTCCATTCACCTGGGTACGAATAAAATGTATCGAGATATGAAACAATTCTATTGGTGGCCGGGAATGAAGAAAGACATAGCGATACATGTTAAGCAGTGTATGATTTTCCTACAAGTGAAGATAGAGCATCTGCGACCTATAGTAAGTTGTAGTCGTTAGAAATTCCAGTTTGGAAATGGGATCACATTTCTATGGATTTCATAACCAATATGCCTAGAACACCGAAAGGCTTTGATGCTATATGGGTTGTTGTGGATCGAGTATCCAAGTTTGCTCATTTTTTACCAATGAAAGAATTGTATTCTATGGATCGACTGGTGAACTATATATTGATTAAGTGGTAACACGTCACGGTGTTCCATTGTCGATTATTTCTGATCGAGATAGTCAATTCACATCTTTGTTTTGGAAGACTTTTCAAAGAGAAATGGGTTCACAAATAAAGTTGAGTACGACTTATCATCCACAGATCGATGGACAAAGTGAACAAACGATCCAGACGCTCGAAGATATGCTGTGGGCATATGTTATTGATTTTGGAGGATCGTAGGATAGTCATTTGCCTTTGATTGAGTTCGCCTACAACAACAGTTATCATTCGATTGTTTAGGCGGCACCTTTTGAAGTGTTGTACACGCAAAAGTGTCGAACACCATTGTGTTGGAACGAAATGGGCGAGAAACAATTGGTTGGACCTGATATAATTCAGCTGGCAGTGGATAAGATTAATCAGATCCGTGAATGAATGAAAGTAGCCCATGATTGGCAGAAAAGTTACGCTGATAAGCATCGTAAGCCGATTGAGTTTCAAATTGGTAATAGGGTGATGTTGAAAGTATCACTCTGGAAATGAGTTGTCCGTTTTGGAAATAAAGGTAAGTTGAGTCCAAGGTATATTGGACCGTTTTCTATCATTGAACGAATCGGGGAAGTGGTGTACAAACTAGAACTTTCTATGGAGTTGAGTGGTATTCATAAAAATTATCATGTATCAAATCTGAGGAAGTGTCTAACAAATCTAGAAAAAGTTGTGCCTCTACCATAAATCAAAATTGATTAAAAGTTGTGTTTTGAAGAGACTCTTGAAGCCATTACTGACTTCAAAGTAAAAGTGTTGAGAAAGAAAGAGATTAGACTAGTGAAAGTACAGTGGTGATATCATAAGAGGCCATAAGCCACCTGGAACCCGAGTCTGAGATGAGAATAAAGTATCCTCATTTGTTCACCTAGTGGAATTTCATGACAGATTTTTTCTAAGAAGAGGATATTGTAATGTTCGGTTTTAATTTGCATTGATCGGGTTTCGAAATAAATATCGATGGAAAGTTCAGAAATAAAATGTTATAGTTGATGAAAGATGAGGGACGAAAGATAGAATTTATGTCACCTACTTGTAAACTAAAATTTCAAGTCCAATAGCATGAATTGGATTTTGATTTATGTGTAAGGTATTCACGTAGAGGGGACGAGGTAGGGCATGCACTGCCTCACATTTCATTTATGTTTATATAAAGCTTGTTTTTGGTAGAGACTTCATGGAAGAGGAATTGGGTAAGTTTTTTTAGAGAAAGTTATACGTTTTGTTTTCACGTAGATCCGAATAGAGGTTTGGTGAGATTTTGATTGATATTGGACGAGGTGAATTTTTACAAAGCCTTTGTAAGATACGTGTTATTATGTCACACGTGATTTATTTTGATACATGAAATTATGTGACGTGTTTGGTTTCGGACTAACATGTCGAGGCATTAAAATAGTGGCAGGGCATCCGCGATAGTTGGGGGGATAACGGCGATAGTTGACGGGATAACCGCGATAGGTGGCGGTATATTCTTTACCACCCAACACTTTATCCGATGAGACATGGTCATCGCCCAAAGCTTGTACTCTTAGGCTTTTATCTTTCAGGCCTTGGGCGGATTGGTAGCTCATTCCCAAGCCTTTGCCCGGATACACCTTTCATCGCTCAGGCCTTGGGCGGATTGAGTGCTCATCGCCCAAGCCTTCTCCAATTAGACCCTTCATCGCTCAGGCCTTGGGCAAATAGAGTGCTCATCACCCAAGCCTTGTCCGATGAAGAAGTTCATCATCCAACTTTGCCCGATGAGGAGGTTCATCGCCCAAGCTTAGGCGATGAAGAAACCCTACGACTCAATTTGGGTAAAATATTTTCCAACTGTTTTATAACTGTTTACCATAATCCCGGTTTAAACTCGAGAGAAATTTCTCACTAGTTCTTTCGGCCTAACCCTTAATCATTTTCAAAATAATTTTTGCAGGTCAGCTCAGGTTGGAAGATAAAGGTAAATGAAAGATAAAAATGGTTGTTGGACTAGTTTTTGTTAGATCAGTTCTTGTATTCAGGATATTTGCTGATATATAAGGATATAACTGATTTGTTTGTATGTATTGGAACATGTTATATGATATGTCATGTATTTTGGGATTTGGTTTTGGCGGGCCTTTACAAATATACAATCCACAAATCCATCATAAATACCTAATATGATTATCCGGATGAAATAATATACAAATACAAATTCTTCAACAAAATTAAAGTACGATTGGTGACACTAGTTCATAAATACAATATATCAAATATACTGCGGCGGGGTCGGCGGAAACTGTTGAGATTGTGTAAACCTCTTCATCATATTCATCATGTTTGCATGTTCTTTCTTTCGGATCTCATCTTCCTTGTTTCGGATCTCTTCTCAGCGGAGAATTTCATTAACCTCCTTATGTAGGATCTCATCTTGAGTGCGCATTTCTTGAATTTGGGACTGTAAGTCGTTAATTAACTATAAATACAATAAAACGTTAAAATTTCCAATAAGAAGTATAAATAAAATAGATAAATAACAAAGAATAAAGAGGTAGACACCTGACTATCTACATTAGACGATCCACTCGAGTTTGCTTGTGAGGATGTCCCGGTCAAAACCAAATTAGGATCTTGATTGTACCCGAAGCCAAATAGATGACATTTCTTAGATCCCCCAACCGCCAACCGCCTCATTCCACAAGTCGGTACCAACTAGGGGATAGGCCTAGGGATCCTCGTATGTGATAAAACTTATAATCAAGATAGTAGTATATTTGTGATAGAAGATTAGTTTATTAAGGATTATCATATATCGGCAAATTCAATCCCGATTTATTAAGGATTTATCACCACGGTTACAAATAATACTACCATTTTTAATTTAATAATATTTTATTTTATCCATTTATTAAATACGATATGTTGTCCATATTCTTTCTTGCCTTCTCGCAAACTAGTTTGCGAGTCGCATGATCCTCCCTCTCTCTCTCACAGAGTAAAAGATGGACGATCAAACAAGAATTGACTATTTAAAAGAATACGAAAACAGTTAAATCACGTGTAAAATCACAATGTAATTTTACATTAACGGTAAAAAAATGGGTGGGCGACTTTGGCCGCGTCTTTAGGTCACAAAGCAAAGTTGCATGAATCACATGTGATTTTGTACGTAATCACATATGATTAGACCGTTTTCTTATTATCTTAAATATGTATCGTTCTTTCTTGAACCCGACTCTCTGTATGTATACATACATACATTGTATGGTACAAGTTAGCCATGTAGCATGGAACCCCTGGTCAGGTGATTTTTGATTTCATTGTTTTCATCCGAGGGAAGTGGAGCCTGGATCCCTCTTGACCGGACAACCACCTCTTACCCGGTAAGCAAGCAGGTAGAAAACTACCCCTAAGACTAACTAGATCATATGATCAAGATTTTTAAGTGAATCCTACAGGTTCACTAAAGAATGAGAAGAAAAATAAACATGGCTTGGAAATATGTTCAATAAGGTTAACAACTTTCCAAAAAAATAGAAATAAAAACAACAGTTGATTAACTAAGGTTTACAATATTACCAACCAAACCAAATGGTACATCATGCTCTGATCTCCTGTAAAGATTTCTGACCCCTCTCTCTCTCTCTCTCTCTCTCTCATCAAGTTTTAAATACAACTGGGGCACCAGATAATTAAGCACTTAATATATAACACAACTGCTCAGCCTAATTGTACTTTAGAACACTAAGTTACCAGTTGTTTAGTGATGGAAAGGATTTACAACGATAAATATGTTAAGAATGTCGGTTAAAATCACTGTGCGTTGATCATAACTGACCGGAATGGCACCCTTTTGATATCGACAAAGGTTGAAAACTCATTCTTTAATGGTTGTTTCCATGGTTCTCCATCCATCTGCATAAAAGCTTTCTTCCATGCTCCACCTCTAAACTCGAATCGAATTGCAGCAGCCTGAGGAGCAAAAAATTTTAACCATTTTGTATAGCATGTAATAGTTGCAACAACTGTGCAATCCCAAAAAACAAAAACTGCAAGGACGGATTTTTAGCAGTAAAGAAATAGCATCTATCTTGGATTGTATTCTTTTAGGATATGTGGAAGCCTGTTGAATATAAGCTCAACAAGCCTAATTTTAAGGAAAAGAGGTTTCAACTGACCTGTGCTATGTGTTTGGCTGAAATAAGCTCGACCATCACAAATGATGCATGCCATCCGTGCTTGAAGCCAAAAACTTCTAACAGACCATCATCAGCGTTAGCCTCAACAAAACCTTTCTGCATTTGAACCAATTGCAAATGAAACAGCTTCAGAATAACTTGTGAACCATTAGATGTAGGAATCATTGTGGTTATAGATCACTAGATGTGGGAAATAAAGTTCTACCTTTTCCATATATTTCGGCTTCAACTTACCCCATGGATTTCTTCCACTTGCATAGTTATGAAGATTCAAAGCAACAATAGATCTGACACTGGAAGATGATCGATTGTCAGCCAACAAATGGGGTGTAAAACCTGAGTTTCAATTCATTCCCCTCAATTTGTTGAGGAATGTTCATTACCCTGTATCTGGTAATGGCTCATTTCATTGAATCAAACCCCACTCCATTAATGATTTCCATTTCCATTTCCATTTTCCCATCCCAGATTACCCCCAAAGTGCATTTTGTTCATCATAAACCAAGTGAGCATAACCAATTGTGTCTATATGCTCCATGCCTTCTCAAATCAGTAATTAAGTCACAACTAGATAACAAAGCCAAACCAAACAGACCCACTATATCCCACTCGATTGAAGCGTTTGGAGGGTGGGATGTACACAGACGTGTCTTTTAACCCAAAGGGTAGAGCCGTTGTTTCCTTGAAGACGTCTATTTCAGTGAAGAACGCTAGATGATAACATGAAAACCAGCCTATTGGTACTTTATGGTGATTAAAAAGATTGCATCTACTTTCTTCATCCCAAGAAAATTGCAAAACTTTCCATTTACCGTCCCAAAATAAATTTCCAAAAGGAAAAAGGCACACAGTTCAAATATGTAATTATTACACTTTTTAATTACTAAATGACAACTTTACCCTTAATAATAGAGGGAGAAATGAATTTCTCCATCACATAAATAAGGGTAGAATTGAAAAGTAGATACTTAATCTAGAAAGTAAGCACTTATCTGGGACAAACTAAAATGGAAATGTGGATACTTATTTTGGAACGAGATGGAGGAAGTATAACATTATCTTTTTCTTGGCAAACTTAGAAGATAAAATCGCCTATTTTGTCCGTAGTCATGATGACCATCCTTGGTGTTATTGATTGCAAATGCACAAGTTTTTTGGTCTCATTAAAGAGCATTTATGGTTTCGACTAGTAATCAAATGTGTCCGGTCAGACTAATGCAGTTTTTGTGGGACGGAGAGAGTTTAATATCACTCCAAAAGTAAACTTACCTTGGAGGGATAGGAACAAGCTCCCACTCTGAGCTGTTGAGCCTTTTAACATATAGCCTCAAAATGTTCTTTAGTCCCCTGCATTCATCAGATGGTTAAAAAATGACAAATGGGCATCTTTGTTCTTCAATGATTATGTAGGCATAATGTGAGAAATTGTTACCTCAAACCCGGGTCAGCCATACAAGGCGTAAAAAACCACCCTTGTTTGCAACTGTATCCAGAGTAAATCATCTGTTTCAAGAAAGCAGTCAAGAAAATTTGTAAATATACCCAAACTAGGCACCCGATAACCGTATAACATAGCCATGATCCTTAGAAATATTGATTAAAGATGCTCGTGACAAGAAGACATCAGAAAGATGTATGATATCTCATGAAAAGCCAACTAAAGTTCAGACTTCAGACCTTGTTCGAAATAGGACCTTGTGCAAGGTAAGGTTTCTCATTTCGTAAATGATGGAAACCGTAAGCCACTTGGGCATCCATTCCTGCGTCAAGAAAGCTAAATGGATAAGATAGTTAAAAGAGAACAGAGAATGAAAGTAAATTTAAATTAAAAAATATGAATGACTTCCATACTAAGATAATTAGTACACAATTAAACAAATCATGTGTCAGGTAAGGTCTGCGTACATATTACCCCATGCCTGACCTTCAGGTGGGATATACTGGGTTCATTTGGTTTCGCTTTTATGTGTCAATCCCCAAAAGAAAAGAAAAGAAAGCAGCATACCTATGCTGAAGTAATTATAGAACACTCCTTGATAACATGAAACTTTCTCAGGTAACTTCCCATCAGTTTCTAAATCCTGCAACGAAGCCCATGAAAGTTTACTTGTTACTTGAGGTTAACGGTTGTGCTTCTAGTATTATCCTAAATTGTTGTTGTTAAATACGAGACGTGCATTAGATTTACAATATATTTGTGCGTTATATTGGACAAGAAAAGAAATAAAAAGGAAGTTTTAGTGAGCACGTAGCAATGAAGGTCAACAAGAAGCCAATAACATGGACCCTAAAGTCCGCAAATTAACACCATATGTCACATTCGAGTCTTCTTAGGGCCACTAGGGATTTTCCTGACTTTTATTTCTGGGGCCCATGGGATTGGTGAACACAAGATGGGCGAGACATCCATGGTTACTAAAAATAAAAAGGCCGCAAACTGATTAATATTACCAACCTGATCAAAGACAACCTCCTCTGTTTGCTTTAAAGAATGAGGGGTATCCAAATCTTCACCAGCAGGCATTGATATCGAGAGATTCCAACTGCATATGGTAAGATATATGTCACGACATGATAGCTGTAGAATCAGGGACAAAAGCAGCACCCTCAAATAAAAAATTATGCATAAAAATGAATCTTGAAATTTTGTGATATCTAAAGAATGATTCAGCAAACGAATTGCTTGCAGGTTTCAGTAAGCAAATACCAGTATACGTTCTTCTGTCCCTCCTAATTCTGGCATCAGTTAAAACTAGCCACATCAAAGCTCAACATTTTTCTCAATTCCTAACCACCGAGTTTGAGCCAAAAGCAGGCATTTTTCTCAATTCATCCATTTCCACCCTATCGTGTATCTTGTTAGCAAAGTATTCAATGAAACTAGTTTTCACCACAATGCAGACAATAATCATGCCTAACAGAAGAGGTTGTGGCATACACTGAAGTCCTAAAAAGGTTTCTAAGATTCACCTGGTGAACCCCTGATTCCATGGGACTTGGAACTACTATAACATTATCATGGTTAAATGATGATCCATGGAACTCGAATCTGCTTAGAGTCTAATAAAGTTAGGGACCTGAAACATTATTTAGAAAGAAGATTACAAATGTTGCCATAGGATGATAAAACTAAATACATTGAACTCTAGTCTGCTTGGAACCCCCGTCCTATTGTCGCCAGTGATCATTATGGGGAAGACATGAACAAATACTGAGTTATTGGTTCTAACTGAAGTGGCACGGTATAAACAAAACGTCAATAAACTTAACTCACCTATCCAGATGGCTAGTCTGAGAATGAGTGGCCCGGTCAAGAGTCCTTTTTATGGCTGCCCTCCAGTTAAAAGGAAATGAACCACCCTGGAAATAAGTTCAAGTACACCTCAAGAACCTGAAGAAGATGAGAGAACTGAACATTTAAAGGCATGATAATTAAGATTACCCAACCAAAACTCCTGGACAAGTCGTTTCCTGTACCAAGAGGTATAATTGCTGTTGGTGGAACTGGATCGCGTCCCTGCTTGTGAAGCTCTCCTAGGCATCCAAGAACCCAACCCACAGTACCATCACCTCCAGCAACCTGTCAGTCAGAAATTACATCGTCACTATCCATTGGTAATCACTACAAGCACTTCAACATTTCACTAGTTTGTTCTCAATTGATGGGCATTTTAGATATTTAACTAATAACCAAACAATCTGAGTTAAACCATGTATACATACCACTATCCTCAACCTTTCACGAGTTTCTTTGGCACAGTTGTCTCCAAGACCAGCAAACCTCTCCAAGCAACCCAACCCATACTGAACGAACTCATGGGGCTTTACGGTTTGAAGGTCAAAGACCTGGTGCAACACAGAAATTAAATCAATGAAAGAACTGGTCTTTCCGATAGCAAATGGAGCAAAGGGTTGGTAACTGTAGTAAAGTTTGTAAAAATGTTCAAGTATTTAGCTGCAAAAACAACAATTTTCTCAATCTTGAGCACCTTCTGAAACTAAGATTTAAATCAAGAATTCAAGATCCCCCTAAACTCAATCCTCTTTCAGAAACATTTAGATGTAGATCCAGAAACCAGTTTTAATTTATCACTAAATATCCAAATTGTGATAACTTTCAACACCCAAAATCCTGTTAATTTGCAACTTCAAAAACCCTCTTTAGCGATATAGTTTTCTTGAATTCCTCTTATTCTTAAGCCACCTTGTTTTAACTGTCAGTCTCCAGTTCAGATCAAAATTTACCGTCAATTAAAATATTATTAAAATGGATATCTAAAGCTTAGATGATAACAAAATTTTAATCAAAATCAATAAAATTTGTACTCGTAGGGCAAATTAAACTTTACTTTAAGATATTTATTCAGAAGTAAACCTGTTCTTCGCCCATCAAATCCTGCAACCTCGCTTTAAGCTCCGGTCCATGGCGCCCGCCGCTCTTGGAGTTAATAAAAACAACCAACGGACACTCAGCGGCAACGACCAGCGGCTTATCCCCGGCGGTAGTAGTGCCGTCATAATGATGCTTTCCAGAATCAATATCTTTCGAGGCAATGGAGTCACGTATAGCAAAACGTAAATACTCCGGCATCGTGATCTTCTGCCGCAACTCCTCTTTAGGAATCCTTATTCCAGATAACGAACACCCTTTTATCGAATCTATCACCGATGACTTCACGGCCACCCTATTCACCATCTTTTCCGGTTCCGGCGATTCCATCTTAATCACTCTGTTTCTGGGTTGAAGCGGGCAGTCTCGAATCTGTATATTTTCAGGTAAGAGAACGAAAATATTCCGACTTAAATTTCGATACGATTGTATGAGAGAAACTGTCGTCGGTTTTCTAGAGAGTGTGAGTGTGGGTGTGGGTGGAAAATGGGGCCGGCGAGAGTGTCGCTTTTCAAGTCCGGCGGAGGGGAGCTGTTTGAAAATTTGGTTTTTCCTTTTTGTACAAAAAAATTTAATATGTTTTTATTATAGCGTCAATCGTTTGACTATTATGCCCTTCAGATTTTTAATAAATTACGAAACAACCTGTTTTTCTGAAAGCTTTTGTAGGTTTTTGGCCGTTCAAATTCGCCCACGAGAGTCCGCACGTACTTTTTACATTTATAGCGCTGTGTATTAACATTTTATTCCCTTCAAATTGAGGATATTTACAAAATACATCCTCTAATCAAAGTAAATTATACTTTCAGCCCCTTTTTAAACAAAGTTCTCTATTTTACAACATATGCAAGTTAAGGGGTATAACATGAAACTTATTTAAGAGTAATGTCAGTTCCTCGTAAAAAAAAACTCTAAACGACGTTTGACAGATAATACAGTATAAATCTAGAATTTTCATTTTTAATAATAAATTGTATTACTTATCATTCTCTGTTTACAATTAAAAAAAAAATTAAACATCGTTGCATTTTGGGGTGAAAAAGATCGAGCTTCTAACGATTTAGTAATTCTCGAACTCGAGTTGATCTTGAACACAAAATAAAACTCGTTTTAACTTAACGAATTGAGCTTTATAACACCAATGTTCAATTTGACTCATTTGAAAACTCGGTTAAACTTTTTGGGATCGAGTTGAATCATTCGAGCATACCTTTTTTCGAACCAAACATGCTCATATGTTTATAAGTCATAAATAAAAAGACATAAAAGTTATCGAGATCGACAAATAATCGAGTTAATCAATCACGAGTTTGAATCCATAAACGAAAAATAAAACTTGAGCTCGATAATTTAAAAAAAAAATTCTAGCTCGAACTGGAGCCCTACTTTAAAAAACCTACTACTCGACTCCATTCGACTCATTTACACCTCTACATTTCACATGCTGAGTATTTTGTTAATGACATGAAGGTTCTTAAAGGTGGTAGGGGAATAAATTGCAATAAGTATAGGGGTCCATTGGGGATTCCCTTAAAGTCAAGGGATGTAAATGTAAATAGCAAATTTAAGAATCCAAACGAGATCAGTTCCAATAGGTCAGCAGGAAGACAGATAAGCTGCCAGTTGGACAACTTTTGTCGTATTTCCAGGTAAGCAGGCCCACAAATAATAAAACAAATTATTAAATATTATTTCTATTTTTGAACCAACCTTTAATTCATGGTTATTTTCTTTCAAAAGCGAAGTTTAAAATATTTATTTATATTATAATATAAAGTATTTAATAAAAACTGTTAAAAACTATTTTTTATGTATGAAATATTTTTTATTGATGTATATTATTTAAAATTAAGATTACAAGTAATTATGCGTAAATACAACTTATTAAAGCTCTATTTTTAAATTTGTGTAACTAACTGTAGATAAACATAATCAAATATAGAATAAACATTCATTTTAAATATAGAAAATCTAAAATATAATTAAGATAACCATTAAGTTCTAACAGAATGTTTAATTATTATCTTTATAAAAAAGTATATTATTAAACCAAAAATAAATTACTTTGTTATTAAATCTAAATTAAATTATAATAAAAGTTTGAATTAAAGAAGTTATACCAAAAAAACGAAAACTATTAAATAGTTAATTTGATATTAATATCGATTTGTTTTATTTTCAATTTTTTATGTTATCTTCAAATTTATTATTCAAAAATAAAAACATTGCCGCTTTCTCAAAACCACATAAAATCGTATTATATCGATAAAGACAAATAATAAAAACTAAATATTAAAATGAAGATTTATCTCGTTGCATTATGTGAGTACCCTTCTAGTATTTTTTTTAATGCATATCGTTCCTAAATTTTGAGCATTTTCAATGAATTACGTTTCTTTATCTATCGACCGCTAACTTTTTCTCTCAAAAACAATCAAATAAAAAGACATTTTGGTCCTTTTATATATTTTCTATTAAAATAAAAAAAAAATATTATATGTTATAATATTGTAAACTATAAATATAAAAGAAAAGAAAAAACAAAAAGGATAACCCTAATATGGTGGTTTGAGTGAAGTAGATCGTCATTAGATTCAAGATGATCGGAGATGGGGGATCGACAAACCACTATTGTTCATCGCATCTATGAGACCAGTGAAATGGATGGCGTTGCCGAAGACGAGATCATCGAGGGACGACCACCATCATAAAATCAAAATCCCACTTTAATGGGCAATTTTGACCACCAAAATAAAGATCTTCCACCCCATGAAACCGAGATCAAAGAGGTATTATGTTTCCAAAATAAGATTTCGAAAATATATTTTCTAAAATAAGAAACAACACAGACTCTGTTCTATTTTTGCAATTTACCTTTCAAAACACCAAATACAATTAAGTAATCAACAACAGTGCATATTTTTTTTCTTCATAAAAAAGGATTTTAATAGAGCAAATAACGATGTGGAAAACAAGACAAGAATTCTCAGATAACGCCCGCATCATCGGTGGGGCGTGCCAGTCGATGAATAGTGAACGATAGGTATGTATTTTGAACTAATTCTCATTTTAAGTAAAGTAAATTTTTTACATAAAGTAACGTCACACTTCAACCACTCGGATTCGAAAGACGTAACAGAAGATCCTTTTTTTCACGTAACCCATATGTCATCACTGTTGCTTTTTTAAATCTTAACTCGACCAACGAATCAGATAAAAACAGAACAAATATGAATATCTTTTTTTGGTAAAAAAAACACAAAAATTAAATTGTGGACCAAATATGAAATAAATCATTTAAGTCACAATAAAAGCTTCACCAAGACCATTAATTAAAAGCATTCGTAGTTGGTTGGTTGTTCGGTATTAATCGATTCGTTTTCAATATCAGAATTTAATCAAATTATATATATATATAATCATATTATATTGTAAAGCATTTGATAAAAACTCTTAAAGACAATTTTTTATGTATAAAACACTGTTTATTGATGTATATTACTTAAAATTCAAGATTACAAATTGATTGTGTGTAAGTACAACTTATTAAAACTTCATGTTTGAATTCGTATAACTAACTGCAGATGAATATCATCAAATACATGATAAACATCATTTTAAATATAAAAAATCTAAAATATAATTAAAATAATTATTGAGTTCTAACATAATATTTAATTATTATCTTAAAAAAATTATTTTATTATTCAAAAATAAAAATGTTTTATTTTTCTCAAAATCACATAAAATCGCATTATAACATTGATAGACCCAAAATATAAAATAAAACATTAAAATCAAGATATATTTCGTTACATTGCGCAAGTTACCTTATAGTATACATATATATATATAGAGAGAGAGAGTTGAGTTCACGTGAGAACAAGAGTTTTTCGTGAGACTTGTGAGACCAATTTATGTTCATTGATCAACTTTATAAGCTAATGATCTAATATTCTAAAGTTGCACGGTGACAATTTTATGATTATTAAGAAGTCTCGTGGCAATTTTATGATTATGAATGTTGAGATTGTATATCTAATTCAAGGGTTGAGAATTGGTCTTACGGTCTCACGAAAACCCCTCGATCTCACATGATCTCGCGTCTATATATATATATGAATACAATACATGATCATAAGAGTATCCACCGTGCAAGTTTCATGAGGTCTTAGGGGGACTATATTTTATTACTAAAATTTCAAAAAATTGGTAATTTAATTAATTGTTAAATTTAATATAAATATGATTTAATTAATTTGATTATGTATAACGTATTTTTAAAATCTCCAATTTCATATCTTAAATGTAATAGACTTGGATTCCGATGAAAAGCATAAGAATACCAAATGATCCAAAAACCCTTATTTTAAATAGGATATTTCTAATATAAAGATGACATCTGGATCAATTTCATAAGAATACTCACCTTAATTTTTAAAACCTTCATTTGGTATTTTAATGTTAGTGGCTTGTATGTAGAATATACTCGCCTTAATTGATCCACAAAACATTTGAATCCCTTTGTTTCAAATATATACTCAGATGATTTAGGACACTATGAGTAGGGGTGTAAATGATGCAAGTCGAGTTCGAGTATCTCGATAGCCATTTCTCAAGCTCGAACTCGACTCGAAAACTCGCGAGTAGTTAAAAATTAAACTCGACTCGAAATTGATTGCAATTTTTTAAGCTCGAACTCGAACTCTAATCAAGCTCACCCGTTGAAATTTATGAAAATTTAAGGTGTTTTATAAATTATAAAACTTAAAGGTGTTCTTTTAAATTTTAAAAAACTAAAGAAATGCACCTCAAACTTAATCATAAAAGACAAAGTTACAAACTTCATTTATATCTCTCTCTTTTTATAACAACTCTTCATCATTCTTTTATTATCTCTTCTAACGTGGGACAACTTCACCAATACTTCTATGATTTTTTTTGTCTTTTTTAATTATGCTTTTAATAAAAAAAAATTATTGATATAGCTTTTATAATTAAAAATGCACAATACCGTTCAACTATTTTAAAAGTATAAGACACTTTTATAACATTATATTATACATATTATATTATAAAACTGAATATATTTTCAAAACTAACTATATATAAAAAATCGAGTATCTCACGAGTTTCTCGAGTCGAGTATTGGGTAGTTCGACTCGACTCGTTAATATGTCGAGTCGAGTTCGAGTTTGAGCCGAGCCTATTCGAGTCGAGTGTTGACCGAGTCGATCTCGTATCATTTACACCCTTAACCATGAGGTCCATGTAACACAAAGGGTACCTTTAACCCAAAAGAAATCAAGAAAACCATCACAATTAGTTTGTTCATTCATAATATATAATATGTGATGTTGTACCGTCATTTCAATGTGATTGTGAAGCATTATTGATAATTACATTACAAATAGTTTACAGTTCTCTTATGGCAAGCAAATCATTCTAAGTTTATTATTTTTCTTAGATAATGATGCAAGCTTGATGGATGATGAAACCTTATCCTTTATGCCTTCAAGTCAACACACGGTTTCAAAAAGGAATCTACGTCTAAGAATTCTGAAGCCTACACCTGCTGAAGAAGCAGGTAATGTTTAATCTAAACCTTCACAGTAAGTTTGCAGTGAAGGTAGTGTTGTTATTTGATCTTTTTGTTTAATGAAATGCAAGTTGTCTAAATTTGTTCTCTTTTCTTCTAAACCACATGTATAAGTTGTCTAAATACAAGGTTTGGTTTGTAAAACAACATAGTCTCACGTGAATCCAACCTATGATCATTATGTGGATGTTTGAATATGTTTCTTAAGCAACTAGCAATGTGCCAAATATCACACATATAATTAGCTACAACTTAATATCGTACTAAATGAGTGGTAGACTTGTAAAAAGTAAGAAAATAAAAGGTTATAGTGTCACCAGAACCACCAGGTACCACGGCTATCGACGACCTTCACAGTGGTTGGTATCAACGGCATCCTACCAAACTCGGATACATTCAGCCCTTTTGTTGCTATGGCCTCCCAGACTGCTAATTACAGTGGATCCAATCTCGTAAATCTTGCCTACGTTACACCAAACAATATAGTTACCGTTGGTAAATATCGTTCTATTTAGAAACAACCAACATACTCGCAGAAATACAGAAATAAAAGGAAGGAAAAAAAGACCATGTGAAATTGGCATAGCGAACGAAAAGATTGGCAGAGGAGTATCATGAAACTATGCTAAGAGCATGTGATTATTAGTCACAGACTCTCACTAAACTACAAGTCAAATCAAATTATGGACGAAAGAAGCATCAAGTTGGTATAAATGAACTTTCACATAAGAAGAATCATATATTATACACGATTGGTATTTAGAGGGAGTGAATGGACGAGTGAGTGTGAGGTAGGTGGGTGAAAGAATTGAGCGGGATTTTAAGGTTTTAATTTGTGATAAGTAGATTAGTAACTCTTGTCTTGTCCCGGTCTTAATATAGATCCAAACGTGGGATAACAAGTTTTTGTCCTATTATATCCCATAAAGTGGGGTGGTAATCCCATGAAAGCCAATAGTTCAAATCCCCATTGCAGGTTCACAATTAAAAGAACACGGGATTGACTTTTTGTATCACCACGCTTGAATTTTTACTACGAACAAAAGATCATTCTTGTGAAGAAAAAAAGATACATTACACTATGCAAAAATATGCGATTTTGGAAGAAAAAAGGTCAAAGTACTATGGTCCTAACCCATTTCCAACTCTGCACATTCCTACAGCCTATCATGTTTTTCTTGATATTTTTTAAAGAATGATGATTAGTTCATAAAAAAATACAATCGTTAAGAAAAAGTCGATCACAGAATGAAATGCAAGTTGTTATAAGTTTTAATTACCTTTTGCCCATATAAGAGGGGCACCTGTGGCATTAGCAACCAGGAACGACATTGCGATATCCTCACAATTCCTGTTGGATTAATTGAAAATGGGTGAAGTGTTCAAAATTGCAAAAGGTGGGTATTAAATCACAAGAAACAATCTAAAAGTATACTTGTTCCTCTTCACATATTCCTTGAGCGATGCAGGCATTTCATTAGTGTACAAACGTAGATATTTTCTATGGAAAAAAGATGCCTTTGAGAGTATCATACTGTATGTACCCGTCCACCAAACAGGCCACCGTCCACCATATACATAGGAATCTTTGTTTTCTTTCTACAATAGGAAAATAGATGTAAGTCGCACTACTCAAACCACCCCGAAAAGTGACTTACCTGCCGGAGTCTATGGAACAACAAATTCTGGTGGCTCTCAATTTGTTCAGGTTCCTTCTAGCCAACATCAACCTCAGCCTCAGTATGTTGGGTATTCGCAGATCCACCACATGGTTTCAAAAAGGAATCTGCGTCCAAAGGATTCTGAAGCCTACACCTGCTTGTAATGTTTAATATAAATCTTCACAGTAAATATGCAGTGAAGGTAGTGTTGTTATTTGATCTTTTTGTTTAATGAATGCAAGTTGTCTAAATTTTTTTTCTTTTCTTCTAAACCACCTTTTGAAGTACAAAAAAGGAAATCAACACATCCAGCAAAGAATGAAAAGAAATTGAAGATCGCAAGGGTTGCAAATGAAGTTAAAGATGAGGTAATTCAGGTGTTGAGAACAAGGAGTTCTCCTCTTCATTTGTATTTGGCAATTCAAAAGTTTCAGACAGAGCATAGAAAGTTTGTTATAGCGATGAGGCTTAAGTCAATTCTTCACTTAAGCATAGAATATATTCCATCGAGATTGGGCTTCTTCGTTGTTGACAATTTTGATGATGAAAGGATGGTCTTAAATCTTACAGTTGGGGAGTTGGAAATTACAAAAGACAATGTCAAAAGATGCTTGGTTTTCCAACCGGTCAGATTCGTATCACCCAAAAGAGAACAAGTAGCAATGATGAAATTGTTAGATGTTGGAGAAACCAATTTCCTCAAACCAAAAAAGAAATTCATCCATCTCTAGTTGCAGAAAATATGAAGCAACAAATAGATGGAGGAGATATGTTCAAGTTGAACTTCTTCGTACTCATTGCTACCTGTTTGTGTGAGGCTATGAAGACATGTACGGCTAATCAAATTTTGTTGCACTGCATTGCACACAAAGAGGATATAGATAACATAGATTGGTGTGAGTTTGTTATCGATTGTTTGAAGAGAAGCAAAAAGAATTGGAACAGGACTGATCCAACATCATATTATTGTGGGCCATTGATGTTCTTAATGGTATGAGTTATTTTTATTTACATTTTATCTATTTTATATTAACTTGATAATGTTTTTTTATTTCTAGGTACTCTATGTGGATAGATTGTCATGCAAACATTTGCATGTTCAAAGAAGTTCTCCAACTATCAAGATTTGGACTATATAACTCCTAAAAAAGGAGTCTTTGGAAATGAAGTAGAAAGTTTTGGTCATGGTATCATTTGAAGAAGAGGAAAACCAGAATGAAGAAAACAAATATGAGTATGAAGAGGAGAGGAAGAAGGCACAAGAAAAGAGGTATATATTTCAATATTTTGCCAACATAAAATTACTGTCATTTCATTAAATTAATGAACATTCACAGGAAGCTTACTGCCATTTCGTTGGTGTATAATTCTCAGGTTATAATGGCTGGTGTGAGGAAATGCATGAGTAACATCAACAACACATTCAGTCACATGTATGAATTGAAGGAAGAAGATTTGACAAATTTTCCTAAAGATAATGATATGAAGCTTTAATCTATGAGTTAGAACTAATGTTCGTTAAGCTTTGTCCAACAAAAAAGGATAATGCACACACGCAGATCAATTTCCCTTCAGTTGAATCATTAGAAAAAGGACAAGAAGTCGTTATTGCTAAATTTCAACAGGGTTGTGAATTTCAAGTACACCCTAAAGATCAACCAGATTGCGATGCTCAAGTACATCCTAAAGTTCAACCATATTGCGAAGCTCACCAACATCCTAAAGCTCCATCAAATTGGTCTTACGTGTCTCATGAAAAGCCCTTGGTCACACGTGAACTCAACCCTCTCTCTCTCTCTCTATATATATGTATATATATGTATGTATGCATATATATATGTATATATGTATATATATGTATGTATGCATATATATATATATATGTATATATACGTATGTAGGGATGAGCATCACAATCTGGTTGAGCTTCATGATGTAGGTGAGCTTCGCAATATGGTTGAACTTGAGCTTCACAACCGGGTTGAAATTCAGCAACGACTTCTTGTCCTTTTTCTAATGATTCAACTGAAGGGAAATCGGTCTACGTGTGTGCATTATTCTTTTTTGTTGGACAAAGCTTAACGAACATCAGTTTCAACTCATAAATTAAAGCCTTCATATCATGATGTTTAGGAAAAGTTGTCAAACCTTCTTCCATTAATTCATACATATGACTGAATGTGTTGTTGATTTTACTCGTGCATTTCCTCACACCAGCCATTATAACCTAAGAATTATACACAAACGAAATGGCAGTAAGCTTCCTGTGAATGTTCATTAATTTAATGAAATGGCAGTAATTTTATGTTGGCAAAATATTGAAATATATACCTCTTTTCTTGTGCCTTCTTCCTCTTCCTCTTCATACTCATATTCATTTTCTTCATGCTGGTTTTCTCTTCTTCAAAGAAAACTTCCTGACTTCAATTCCAAAGACTCTTTTTTTAGAAGTTTTGTAGTCCAAATCTTAATAGTTGGAGAACTTCTTTGAACATGAAAATCTTTGCATAACAACCATCCATATAGAGTATCTAGGAAAAAAACACATTATCAAGTTAATATAACATAGATAAAACGTAAATAAAAACAACTCATACCGTTAAGAACATCAATGGCCTGCACTAATATGACGTTGGATCAATCCTGTTCCAATTCTTTTTGCTTCTCTTCAAACAATCGATAACAAACTCACATCAATCTATATTATCCATATCCTCTTTGTGTGCAATGCAGTGCAACAACCTTTAATTAACCATACATGCCTTTATAGCATCACACAAACAGGTAGCAATGAGTACGAAGTTCACTTGAACATATCTCCTCCATCTATTTGTTGCTTCATATGTTCTGCAACTAGAGATGGATGAATTTGTTTGTTGATTTGAGGAAAGTGGCTTCTCCAACATCTAACAATTTCATCATTGCTACTTGTTCTCTTTTGGGTGATACGAATCTGACTAGTTGGAAAACCAAGCATTTTTTGCACACTATTTTTGTAATTTCCAGCTCCCTAACTGGAAGCTTTAAGACCATCCTTTCATCATCAAAATTGTCAACAACGAGAAGCCCAATCTCGATGGAATATATTCTATGCTTAAGTGAAGAATTGACTTAAGCCGCATCGCTATAACAGACTTTCTCTACACTGTCTGAAACTTTTGAATTGCCAAATACAACTGAAGAGAACTCCTCTTTCTCAACACCTGAACTACCTCATGTTTAGCTTCATTTGTAAGGATGGTGATTTACCCCGACCCGGTGGGAAACCCGGCTCACCCGACCCGAACGGGGATTCCCCGCTAAAACGGGTCCCAGGGACGGGGATCCCCGGTAGACTCAAACCGAGGTCGGGGTCGTGGCCAGGGATCTCGGTAGACTCAAACTAACGGATATTCTTCATGGAGTTTGACCGGGGGTTGACCAGCGTTTGACCGAGGACGAGATGTTAATACCCGTACCCACCGAGGCCGGGGGATGTTACTACAAACCGGAGCCGGGGATTAGAAAACCCGCCCCATCCCCACCCGTTGCCATGCCTATTCATTTGCAACCCTTGCCATCTTCAATTTCTTTTCATTCTTTGCAGGATGTGTTGATTTCCTTTTTTGTACTTCAAAAGGTGGTTTAGAAGAAATAAGAATAAATTTAGACAACTTGCATTTTATTAAACAAAAAGATCAAATAACAACACTACCTTCACTGCAAATTTACTGTAAAGGTTTATATTAAATATTACCTCTTCAGCAGATGTAGGCTTCAGAATCCTTGGTCGCAGATTCCTTTTTGAAACCATGTGTTGACTTGAAGGCATAAAGAATATGGTTTCATCATCCATCTAGCTCACATCATTATCTAAGAAAAATAATAAACTTAGAATGCTTTGCTACCATAAGAGAATTGTAAAGTATTTGTAATGTAATTATCAATAATGCATCACACTGAAATGAAGGTACAACATCACATATTATCTACTAAGAATGAACAAACTAGTGTCTGAACAAACTAATTGACACGGTTTTCTGGATTTCATTTGGGTTAAAGGTACCCTTTGAGTTACATGGACCTCAAGGCGTCCTAAGTCATCTCAAGTATCTACTTCAAACAAAGGGATCCAAATGTTTTTTGGGTCAATTACATAGATCTCTTGTCGAACCAGAAGTTCACGGATGACTTTTTGATTTTGATTAAACTGTAATTACCTTAAGAATATAATTTCTTCGACAGTCAGATATGATAGAAAATACTCTATTAGGTGAAAAACAAGGATATTGACGATCCAGCTGATGTAAAATACATTGATCCTACATATATGATTCGTGCATCCCAAGCAAATGCATCAGATGGAATTATGTGCATGATACCGGGTCAAATGATGTAGGTTTATCATACATTTGGTTTTAATTTCTTGCAATTTGTTATGGCCATGGTCCTTGTGGTTTATCTGTTAAAAAATCCATTAACTCAAGTTAACTTAGAGGGTATTTTGGTCTTTTTGACTCCTTTTGTCTCCGACACCGCCCACCATCTCCACGCACAATCTCCTTCTGTGATAACCTGGATTTAAGACAGCATTGGTTGAGGTAACCCTTATGTGATTATTATGCGAATATGTGATAACATGCATGTTTATTTAAGTAAATGCATGGATCATGTGTGTGTGTGTGAATGAGTTACTGTGCATATGTGAGAAGTTAAAAATGTGTGTGCACATAGGATGATATGCATACATGAGGAAAGTATTAAAATATGTGGGTATGTACCTTCGTGGTTAAGAAAGGAGATTTAAATATAGTAATCTTCCACCGCCCAAAAGAGTTTTATAATAATAAAATACACACCGCCCTAGTTAAAAGATATATATAGAGAAGATAAGGATAATCTTATCTCACTTTTAAGAAATCTTTGAAAAAGAAGAAAAGTGTGTGTGTAAGGCGGTGAAGGTGTTCTTGAGAAAAATTTCTGCATAAAAGTGATTTGAGGAATCTGTGTTTACTAGAAGTTGTTGTGTGATTAAATCTTCAAATCTGTGCATATTAAGGTGAGTTTTTGATATTAAAATCCTTAAATGATGTTATTTGAAATACATGGTTTTGATGATTGATTTTGATGAAGAATGGTAAACTGTTTTAACAGTTGAAGTTGAGTTTTATAAGTCTGGGTTTTGGAAACTGTTCTTGGGAAATAAATAAGATTTTGCTTCTTTAAAACAGTTGAGGATGATATCCTATTTTAAGGATTAAAGGAGATTTTGAGTTTGGAAAATGATATTAAAAGAATTGTTGTTTCTTGAGTTTCAAAGTTTTGGAATAAAACTATTTTGAAACCATCATTGGTTAAAACTATAGAGTATGTTCCTTCAAGACGGTTGTGACTTCGGTCTGTCTTCGTTTGGAATTGATCTATAGATTTTGATGGTTAAAACTATAGAGGATGTTCCTTCAAGACGGTTGTGATTTCGGTCTGTCTTCGTTTGGAATTAATCTATAGATTTTGATGAGAAAATAAGAGTGGCATATCAAGGAGAGGCGTACCATGGAATAAGGGTGGCATATCAAGGAGAGGTGTACCTTCGGATATAAGGGTGGCATATCAAGGAGAGGTGTACCTTTGGATATAAGGGTGACATTTGTATGTGTGATTGTTATTATAGCTCTTGCTATTATGTCTCTTAAGATTGMAATAGTTTTGAGTTCTTACTTCTTTGTGATTTGAGGACTCAGGTATGTTGCTCTTATTAGAAATAATAGTAATGATGTTACTGAGAAATGAGAAAACTTGGCTTATGGCCAATGGAATCGGATAAACTATGCTTTTGACAAAGTGTTTGATTTATGAGGAACCAGAGGCTCTGGTTGTTCCTTGAAAGGAACAAGAGGGGCTCTGGTTGTTCCTCACATAGAACCAGAGGGGTTCTGGATAATGATTTGATTATGATACAAGTCTTTTACAAATATTTTACTTAAACCAGAGACTCTGTATCTATTATATAGAGGTTCTGTGTCAAGGATTGTGTTTTAAAAGAGTTCATAGGACTTCTTGCTTTTATTTTAAACTTAGAAAATTTCTTATAGAAAATGACTTTAACAAAGAAGGACAAACAAGTTGGGATCCGGTTGGTATTCACATTGAACCAGAGGGGCTCCGGTTGGTCATGGTGCTAGAGCCAGAGGCTCTGGTTAGAGGAACCAAAGGCTCTGGTCATACATAAGCTTTTTATTTCACTCTTATATACTTGGAAAACGTTTACAATCCATTCTTTATACTTGACTTGGTAATTATATGAAGGTTAATTTGAGAGGAGCTCTGGTTAGTACCAGAAGCTCTGGTTGGAGGAACCAGACGGGCTCTGTCCTACTATTTGATGAAAATCTTTCTAAGTCTGGTCTTTGCAAAGGATTTATGCTTCCATTATGTGGAAAGTTGATTTTAATAATGTTTTGGTGATCTTCACCCTGCAACTACATGGAAAAAAGGATCTCACTAGACCTTCAGGTCTAACCCTCATTTTGTCTTTCAAATATGTATTGCAGGAAGAGCTAAGTTCAATGATAGTAAAGGGAAAGGGAAAATATAACTTGTTTCCCTATGTGTATAACTGTTGAAGATCAGCCTATGGATGTGTTTTGAAGTTGAATGTTATATAGTACAAGAAAACGTATTTTGGAATTTTTGAGTTGTGTATATTGTATTATAGTTTCTTGTACTTTGGACCTTAGTGGGATAATACATGTATTTTCTTTGGATGAATTATATGTTATATGCAATGTGATATGTGGGGTGTTACACCTTCCCTCTACCATGACACCCTTGCCTTCTCAAGTGAAACCCCCACCCCCTTCCCATTACTTCACTTTCTTCGAGCTACTGGTTATTTCTTTGCTTCTAACATACCATGATCATTCAAGTTCACTGACACTCTGTGTGTGTATTTTCATGAGACCTATTTGCTTATTTGTTCCACTTGACACATTTTACTCTAACATAAATAGGATAAGGTAGGAACATGAGGCATAGATTCCTCAAAGCATGAATTTTCAAACATCTTACCTTTTCTTTTTCTCGATTATTTCTTCAAGTAACAAGTCTATCAAACTCGAATTTGATTTTAGAGAAGCATTCAATAGTTCAAAACCCTGCACAAATATAGTGATGAAAGAATTATTGCAAAATCAAACAATAAAATTAAAAATGACTAGAATGTTATGTCATACCTTCTCAATGCCAATGCTTACTTCATGATGCTCAATATCCTTTAGAGGAACTTTCAACTCATTCATAATGGCAATTACATAAACGGATGAAAATGGGGTTACAATGAGATCATCCGTCAACGTAAACTTCGTTGGTCCCTTTAGAAATGTTCCTAGTACCCTTGGATCTTTAAATCTCATAATGTACCTTCGATCATCAATATCATGTACGTCGGGTACCAGTACGACCAAGAAAAGAGCATCAATAGATAAACTGAGGCTCGTTCGAAACATCTTGCTGGAAAATCTGGTTTTCAGAAACATATTTCCGTACCAACCGAGGTTCCATAAGCATAGACCAGAGATGATCAACTCTTCCTAAACTCATACTAGAAATGCTTGCATCTATGTTCTCCAAACATTCAAGAGATGAATTACCATACATCAACTTCCGAATTAGAGTTCCCAAAGGGATTTATAAAAAACCAAAAAGAAATTCCCCAAATTTTTCTCTGCCTCTGCAAACAAAAACTTTGAGGTAGACTTTTGCAAAGTAAGTTTCATCGTCATTATCTTTAAATTTGTATCATATCCATTACTGGTTAAATGTGGAATTGAAGGTCCAAGTTTGGGATTAACGAAACCTCCAATAGTTATAGGATGGATGCTATAGAATATTAAGTAAGTCAACGGGTGCTTCAATAATAGTGCCGCTTTTACAAGTACAAGTATCTGAAAAACAAATATGATATATAGAAATATAAGAAAAATATTTAATGTGCATATAAAAAATATATTTATCAGAAAGTATATAAGAAACATGAAAATTAAATCAAACCCAATATATCCCACCGGAGGGGTGTGGTTTGGGAAGGGTGAGATGTAGGCATACCTAACCTCAATTCAAAGAGTAGAGTGGTTGTTTCCATAAATACTCCCAAGGCCACAGTTAGTGCATAGTGTGAAAAAAATAGGGGTACAGAATTACCTGTTCACAACCAATATCAGTGGTCCTCTCTTCTACATATCAGTAAATCCAAGATCACAGAGCAGTCCAAGGCTCAATCTAAAGTACTTGGCATCACACAAAGATCATCCATGACTATAAAAGTTGTCAGATTAGAAACAAACAAATCACCATCTTTCCGACGTCCTCCAATATGACCATATATGTCCACGTATTTGTTTTCCCGAGTCATCACTTTCCGACGGAAAGAACATCTAGCAACGCTTAAGTGCTAAAATATGAACCAGATGCTCGATAGCAATCCTCATTTTCACACATAAAGTACATTGTAGGCTCAGTGTCGTCTATGTTGAGTTTAAGCATTCTACAGCTATCATGTAGTGAGGTTCTGGGATTAAGCATCATGAATTTGCTTTCTTCAGCAGAGAAGTAACCCACAGGAAGTTTCACTAGACTACAGTACAAGTTTTGTAGGCTCTCAAGCAGATTTAATCTTTGATCAGAAGATTTCTCCAAAATTCTGACAATTGTACCAATGGGCAATGCCATAATGCTGAAAAGAGTGTTAACAAGTTTGCCATCAGCTTCCGCAAATATCACTTTATTTTTCCCTTTGTGCACCATTAGTTTTAGCGAGATTTTGTCTTGGTTCGTGGCAGTAGCAGCCATGATTGTTGAACATTAAACAAAAGACATAACTTATCAGTGTGGTGTTCTTCAAATGCCTCAATTCCTGAGATTTAACAGCACTATTTAAGCTAATTATGCAAAAATGAAGAGGCATTCCACAACCAGATTTATTAGATCACAAGAAGTAAATTAATTCTTAATCATCTGTTGAAACTGGCGAGTGGCGAGTACAATCAAGTTTGTAGCAAGAACACATTAAGCCCATTTTCTTGTATATCACGGATCATAAGAACAATCTATGGCAAGAAGAAAGCTACGTCAATGAAAATACAAATTTATCGTTATCATGGTATAATAACAACAAAACAAATGGGTCTACTTTATAAAATCAGTAAGAACGAAGAACCAGTAAGCATATTAGCATTCGGGCATTTAGCAATCAAAATCAACAAGTAGCAACCTTTTTCTCAAGACACATTATTCTCTAGAGCATTTTTCATTATAACCTTAGGAACATAGTAATAAACCCTAAACTTCAAGTATACTCTGTTAGGGTTTGAGAAAATACCTCAGAAAAATCGAGTGTCAGACAGATAAAATCGAGGTTGGAGCTGAAAAATCAATGTTGGATGATCTGTAAAATCGAAACTAGGGTTTCCTTTCCATAACCGTAAGTCGTTTCCGGGAGAGGGAAAGAGAGCAGGTGACTGGTGAGTAGGGGTGAACGCGGGTTGGGTCGGCGGTTTACAACAATTTTACAACCTAATTACGGCGGATTGGAAAATCTCAACTCAACCCAATCCAACCCAACTCAACCCATTCAAAAATATAACCCAATCCAACCCAACCCTTATGGGTTGAGATGGGTTGGATTGGGTTGGGTTGGTGGGTTAATAGTTACATAATTTGACGAATGAAATAATTCATAAATCTTAAGTTTATTATAGATCATACTATAAAGCGTCCTATCTAAAAATATTGCAATAGGTTTATAGGAGGTTTTTTGACGTTTCAACAAGTGTTTTAGAATGATCTTTAAATAAAATGTCGTATTAGTCATTTTATAGAAACATTTTCAGAAGTGTCCCGTAAACTCATCTATTTATAGGACACCTATGCTCATATGACATTTTTTTCAAGTCGTGTTGTATAAAATAACTAATACGACACTTTATTTTAAAAGCATCGTAGAATTTGTTAAGACGTTCAAAACCATCGTATATACATATTGAAACTCTTTTAGATAAAACATTTTTCTGATGTAACTCTTTAAAAGCGTCATAGATTGATGGATTCGTCCATCAAATATCTATCAATATCATTCATATTTTCCAATATATCAATTTGTTGTTGCTGCAAAAAAAAAATTCAATAATTTTCCTTATTAAGTAGATTATTTGTCATCATTCTTTGATCGTGAATCTCTTTTGGTAACCTATACGTTTAGTTAAAATGAAACAAAATATAATATCAATAAAAATTATATAAAATTTATACATTATTATTAATATATATATATATATATATATATAATTTTATAAAAATTATATATTAGCGGCGGGTTGACGGGTTGGGCGGGTTGAGCTAGGCTCAACCCAATTTCAACCCTCCTAATTGGCGGGTTAGCGATTTGGCGGGTGGGCGGTTTGGCGGGTAGACGAGTTGGGTTTAATTGGGTTGTTAGCGGGGTTGGGTTGGGCGGGTTTCACGGGTTGACGGTTTTTTGTTCACCCCTACTGGTGAGGATACTAACCGGTGCCGGTGAGGGATCAGGTGGAAGACAGGAGCGTATTCCAATTTCTTTTCAGGGGTGTTTGGGATTGCTAGCCACCGGTAATAAATATTGGGGGTTGATATCCCAACCCCTTATATCACTTTTCACCCCCTCCTCCTCACATCAACCCTCACTCTCCTTCTCACAACTTTCCCACACTCTCACGCTCACATACTCACCCCTCTAGACAATCTCATCTCGCTCACATGCATTCATAAAAGAGGGTGGGGTTAAAAAAACCCTAAATATTTTGAGTTTTTAAATAAATATTTATTTCGATGTGGTAATAAATAGTTTTTGAAAAAGTTAAACCCTTCTGACTTATAATACATTGATAAGTGTTTTTATAAAAAAACATAAGTTGTTTCAAATAAGCAATCCCAAACACCTCCTTAATTCAAATTTTAAACCTAACTTAAAAATCTTGGTGAAGCGAGAGTGTCGAGGGAATATACAATTGGTAAGCATCAAAAATGTTACTAGCAAGTGGGATGACTAACGGGCCGTGGTTGCTTACCGGTAAAATTTAACACAGTTATTTATTTATTGGGTAAGATTTTAATCCACCAAAACGACATCGTATGCAATAATTTATTCGGTAAACGTTTATCGTGATAAGAGTCGTCGCCCTCACTTACCGGGTAAGACTTTTGGTCCTCACTCTTACCGGGTAAGATTCTTGGTCATTACCATATTCATCCGGTGAGGTAATGTTACTTGGTAGGCCTTACCCGGGCAAGTGGTAAACGGCCCATGAGTAGTGATGTTTGCGGTGCGTTTTCATCGTAAATCGCATCTTATATGTGGTGTGGATATTTTTCTAAATCGTAAATTGTTGACTCTTGTTTCCGGTGAGAGTTTTTGGTGTTCACTCTTGTTTCACCATTTCCATGAGCACAAGATGATTCATTGGTATTGGTTTTTTTTATGTGTGATATAGAGGGTTAAAATGGTAATTTGTTGTCATTAAATTATTTATTCAGAACAGTTATCAAACAACCGTATTGCATTTTGCATTATATCATACATAGTCCCTTAAGAATTCTGATCAATTAACCATTCTGCATCAAATAATTCAGCAACTGCCAAACAACCTCTTATTCTGTCTATGAAAAAAAAAACTTTATCAGTTTATACAGACATATTAATCCACACAAACAACTTAAAACTAACCATACATCCCCTTAATCTAAGCTAATTAACCTTTATGTACAACAAAACCCACCTCCTACATCATATTTAATTTCATTGAATTTTTTACCGTTCCATCTTCGTGCAATCAAATAACAATTACATCTCCAACGATGATTAAACAAAAATTAACTAACAATCAAATAAAAAAATCAAATGCGAACGATTAAACTAGATGCAAAAATGCAATTATACTTGCATAAATTATATATAAAAAACGAAATAAAACCAACTTTGATTGCTGAAAATAGCAAATTCCACTAACGTAAAAACAATTTTCCAAGGCTCAAATCTAAAGTATTTTGTTATCGAATAAAAACGACAAAAACAGACATTTTACTTATCAGTCTAGATTAAGCACCGATTACAATAATTGTTTGATGAAAATCACTACAATAAAGTTAGATGCCGTTTATTAAACACTTACCGAGTAAAGCGTTTACGGGCAAAAGTCACCCGTTAATTACCTTATTTGTTAACATTATTTGCCATCATGGGCGGAGCTAGGAATTTAGAATACGAAAGGTGGGTCTGTGTTTATTCGAGGTCTTGCATTTCCATAAGATGATATAATCGTTTTGTATCTTATAAGCATCTTTTTTTTGGCATGAAATAGTATTGATTCTTCTTCTTTGTGCTCATGATTCAAACTTGATCATAAAT